TTTTTGTTTTTGTAACAACACTTCGATAAACTTTTTTTTTGCCACAGAAAAAAGTAACTTTTTCTGAGCTTGCAGTATTCAACCGAGGAAAAATCAAGGAGGTAGCTGCTAAAATAACAGACATGAATTTCTTAGTTTAATGTATTTTTAAAATTTTTTAGAAAATTAAGAACAAAGTTTTTTTTTAAAAAATTTTACTTAATCTTTACTGTTACAGTAATGAAACAATGCAAACATAAATTTGTCTGAAGAAGCTTTTTTCTGCTGGTAATGACCTTTTCCATTACAATATTTCCTAATTTCGATTTGAACAATTAAAAAAAATTTTTGGCAGGAATAACATTAGTGTTAAAAATTATGTGCAAATAAGGTTGAAATTTTTTTTTCTAGTGAAATAGCACGGATAAGGGCGCTTGACGGGGAAGAAGGATAGGAAAGATGAGGGTAAGATTAAAAAGGGGAGAAGAGAAAAACAAGGGGCTAACTTGTATAGTTTTATGTATGTATAGTATATATACATCAAATGTATATAAATATAATATAATTTTTTGATTTTCAATGCTAATAAGTGACCGCCAAAAAGATGGATTTACAGCTTAAGAATGTGTAGTTTTTGTTATAGCGGTTATCTAAAGCAACTTTTAGTTTAGTTAAGACAGTCAGTTAGTTAATTTGTCGCATTAACCGCAAGAATTTGTCTGCCTTAACTGTTTGCTGAACAATTTGTATTGTCAGTGGTTTTGCTTTTTGAAAGCAACAAAACAACACCGATACATATTAGGTGAGGTGTTGGAGGAGGAAGATGAGAGGACAGAAATATAGGGGGGAGACAGGAGACGAAGAGGTTAGGGGAGGAAGGAGAAAAGGAGGGAGGAAGGGAAGGCAGGAGGGAGTACTTCAGTTATGTGTGCTACAAATTGCTGATGCAAATCATCCATTTTTTTTTTTTTTGATTCCACAGCAGACTCAGAAGTTTGATTGTTCATTCAGTTTTTGACTTTAATAAACAAATATTTTTTTTTTTACAGAAAACACTATGTATCCGAACACTGTTTTTTCAATATAACAAATAATAACTCTGCCTTTTTCGCTCTGTTTTCTTTCTTTTCTTGTCATCGTCTTCCTTTTTTATTCTTCTTCTTCTTTGTAATCCAATTTTTTTCTTCTTTCGTCCTCTTTTCCAATCTATTCAAAAAAAAAAAAATCCCACAAACAAAACTTTTGTCGCTGTATTTGTTTTTTTTTTTTTTCACTTCTCCTCTTTTCTTTTGATCTTTTCTCTTTTTTTTCCTCATTATCCCTTTACTTCTGTGTCTACTTTGCCTTGATGGAAATCCAACATTATTAAACGTAAAAAAATACACATTAGCTCAGTGTCAATTTTGAATTAACCATTAAAAAACAACTGTTGTCGTAAACGGTTTTTTTCCTTAGTGAAAAGTTTAATAAGGAACGGTGTATACCATTTGTGTTTTTAGTTGAACTCTTTATGACTGTATTGGATACAGAGCACATATATCAGTTATTAAACAACTTTATTTTTTAAATGTTAAAATGTAAGAAAAAGATTTTTTGATTTTAATGGTGATACATATAGCAGTTGATAAATTATAAGAAAAAAAATAAAAAACTAAGACAAAAAAGTGCAATAAAAAAAAAAAAGA